ATATTTTAAAAAATAATAATTAAAAAACATGTTTCTTTCCCGGGTTCCTTCTCTGTAAGGTTTAAGCCCAGAGCAACTTTGTCTAAACCCCTGAAAATAGAGGTTTGCAGTGGCAATGCTGTCAGAACCTCAGCTCTGACACATGGAACGTGCCACTGGAACAAAATCAGCACTTTAGACTTACTTATCTGGGGATGCATGAGCCCATACAAAACAAGAGTTTTGCTCTAATTTAAGGTACTTACACAAGGTTCTATAATTTTAGAACTGTAAAATTATCTACCTATAAAAACTAACTCTTGCTTAAACTCTAGATAATACAGACGCGTGACTTTTTTTTTTATAAAAAATCTGTAGCATTGAGTAAATCTGCTAAAATATGTATATATTTACACATGGCGAGCAAGTTATTGTATAAATGTGAACAGTGTGTATATATTGGCATTTAGTAAAATGTTTCCCTGAACCTGGTTGTATGCATTATCGGACAAGTATTGATGTAAACATCTGAACCTATGTCAGGTGTCTCTGTTACCCACTTACATTAGACCAGATCAAAACCAACCAGACAGACAAACAAAAATATGTTTTCCTGTTAGACAAGTCCACCTAACTCCTTAGTTAGCTACTGCACACAAGTCAATCAAGTCTGCTGCTGAGCAGTGCTCTCATTCCTACAGCAGGTAAAATACCTATTAGGTTGGTTGTTTTTTGCTTGGCATTTTTTCCAACACCCTTGTAGAGCAAATACCATTTTCGGAGCCAGGCACCCACCCTCCACTCCTCCCCCAGAAACGATTAAAAGATAAGTGTATTGGAGAACCTCTTGTGTCGCTCCTTTTGTATCTCTGTTCCCTTGAAGAACTCATGGCACTGCTTTGCATGAGGAAGGATGCTTATTTAGGTTCATAATCCAAGCCCTGCTTCCAGAAAGGCATGTAAAAATGAACCTCCCCAGTGTTTAGTGCTGCAGAAAAAAGATACAAATATAAAAAAAGTGCTTGAAAAGAAGTCAACTTTTTATATTCAGCCACACAGTCTAGTAAGGAGGGATTCAGAAGTGCAGGCCCATGGAGTACAGTGAAGTAAGCCTTTTAGGTGCCTTTCTTCAGGTGATGCAAAACTAATTTATTATCTGTGGTCTCCTAAGCAGACTTTCATACACCGACCTTGCTGTCCGTCTTTGTCTCCACCTCTAATTCAACTACTTTTTGGCACTATCCTGGTACGTGGCAGCTTTCACTGTTGTCCCTGCTAAGCCCCTGTTACTGATCCGGCGTACCAGTACTTTAGAGACGGGGATTTTTGTTCTGTGCATCTCGCTTTTGGCCAGGTGATGGTGTGCGACGTGATGGCTGTTACTGGCGTCTGTTCCATGGCTGGCAGGATGCGACGAAAGGTGTTTAATGCTGATGGGTATCTTGGAGTCCTTCATTGTGCTTGAGGGTGTTTTCAGTGAGCACGTGGTTGTTACTGGAGACACGGGCTTGGAGCGTTGCACACAGGTGACCTCTTCACCCGTAGGCGCCACTGGTGGGTTCTCATCCGGCTCGGCGTAGAGGTCGTAGAGAGCATCCCCGCTGTAGCTGTCCCTGGGAATGGTCTCCTTTTGGATGCTCATGGAACCATCTTCCTCAGGACCAGGGGTGGTGGAATCCCAGTAGCCCTCGTCGCTGTTCGGGACTCCTTCGTGCTGCTCCTTCTCCCTGCCCTTCTGTTCTTCTTTGTGGTTGAGATGAATGGGGATCTGGTGGAGGCCACCACGTTTCACCGCCACCCGGTTCTGGGCCCCCTCAGTACCTCGGTTCTCCTTCAACCCCTCAAGCTTCTTTGTGCCACCTCCTCCTCCTCCTTCTGTCTGGGTCTCCTCTGTCTGTGACAGCATATCCCAGAACTCCTGCAGGTAGGTGTCATCCACCTGGTCCGGGCTGGCCATCTCCTCCCCTCCTCCCTGGTAGGCCAGCATGGTGGGGTGCTTCTTGGAGGCACCCAGCTTGCCGGCCCCCCCCCCCCCCCGCCCCCCCCGCCGCCCCCATCCTCCTCATGGTCCGCAATAATATCTCCGCAGCCTGTAAGAGAGTCAAAGCTTTTCAGTGAAGTCACGTCAGCAAACATCAAACAAATACGATCAATCGATTGCTCTGAGGGTGGATCAATAGAGGAAGGGTCAGGGGCGGCTGCCGTCTCTTGACCGCTATCACAGTGAGGTTCAACAAGGGGGATAGTCGTTATTGGAATGTCACCTGTTATGGCCGCATCCTTCGCAGTCCCAACCTCTCCGGCGCCCGGGTCCAGTCGCTCGCGGCTGAGCTCCTCGGGTCGCCTTCCAGCGGTGGCAGGGTCCTCCCCGGGCCGGGGGCTG